TTCTAACTTGACGGCCACGCGCGACGCGTTGGTACATTGATGGGAAGGGTGGGCCTCTGTCCGTGACCCTGGTCGGTACCCGGCCCACTTTGAAAACTTTTGCCGGCAACCACAGTACCCTGACGGCCAGGCACCTTGATGGCCACCCTAATGCAGCACCCGACCCATTCGCGGCCAACACCCACACACAATGCGCCGGGCGCCCGCTCGGTCCCGCAATCACCGCTCATTCCTCCAGGAGCCGTTGGCGGGAGCGTGGGAGCCTGGGACCCCCCAAACCTGGAATAGTGCCGCCGACGGCCACAGAATGGGATGAAACGCCTCCAAGCGCAAGCTTGCCCAATTGCCGATCTGGCGCGCCCCATCGACGCAGCATGCGCGGCAGGCAGCTACGCACCATGCAGCCCGGGCCGCGGATATAGGTCTCATGTCGGGCTTTTCGCGCGCTTTTTCTCCCTTTTAAATCCCAAGCTGTTTATGAACTCGTCCCATCTCTGATCTCTTAGCTTTGTGTCCTGTCGTCCTGAGAGGGGGAACTCAGAGAGACTCGGACTGATCTTTGACAGACCAGTCAACTGGCAGATCTCGAGCAAGCCGACTCGCCGAGAGAGAGCCCAGCCAAATCGCGCCTTGAAAGAACCCTCGAGTTTTCCCCCTGGAAAACGCCACCACCCTCCATCACCAGGATGTCTCTCCTTGCCTCGCGGCTGCGGCTGGCTAGCCCTACGGCCAAGATGGACCCTTGTCCCTGCGCCTCCCACGATTCCATCGCCATCGTCGAGAAGAAGGCCGACGTGCTCCGCGCTCAGGTGACCGACTCGAGGGCCGAGAAGGTCCGCTGGCTGGTCCAGAGCGTCGTCGAGACCCACGCCCAGCTGCTCCAGCTCCCCCACTTTCGCCCGGGCAAGGCCATCAACCACCTCCTCGGAAACCTCGTCGCCGTCTGCTCCGAGATCCACGACCGGGACACCGTTGACAAGGTAGGTGCCTGCACCTTGGCCCTGCACTTTGAATTCCGATTCAATTCCCCACCACAACACAGTTCTGACAAGAACATCTCCAGGTCATATCCCACCCCAGCGTCCAAGCAGTGCTCCCCTCCCTGCGCCAGATCTGCGCCCAAGCCGAGTCCTGCCTCGAGCTGCACTGGGCCGAGCAGATCCTCGCGGGCGCGCCCCAGAGCCCCGACGAGGTCCTCGCCCGCCTCAAGACCTTCCCCTACTACGAAAACTACGAGGACCTCACCCGCCTCGAGCTCTGCGCCATCCTCTCGGCCACCAAGACCCCGCCCCGCCGCGTCGCCTTCATCGGCTCGGGGCCGCTGCCATTGACCTCCCTCTGCCTACTGCAGTCCCTCAAACGCGACGCCCTCCTCGCCCGCCTAGCACCGGCGCCGTCCCACCCCCCACATGCAACAAACGGCAGCGCCGCCCCGGAAGGACATGAAGCAGACCCCCTCATCCTCAACGTAGACTACGACCCATCGGCCATCGCCGCGTCGGTGACCCTCTCGCTCGCGCTGGGCGAGGCCGGGCGGGGGATGGAATTCGTCTGCGCCGAGGCCACGTCCCCCACCGGCGCGGCCAGGGACCTGGCCGAGTTCGACGTCGTATACATGGCGGCGCTCGTCGGCATGTCGCAGGCCGACAAGGAAGGCATCATCCTGCCCGTGGTCGACCGCATGCGGCCCGGCGCCCTGCTCGTCGTGCGCAGCAGCTGGGGGCTGAGGACCTGCCTGTACCCGGAGGTCGACCTCGCCACCGAGGGCTTGCTGCCGAGACTCGAGTGTTGTGTTGTCGTGCACCCGTATGGACAGGTGGTGAACTCGGTTATTGTTGCTAGGGTTAGGGGGTGAGGTAAGGTAACATGAAGGTGGATTGGGATTTGGAGAGTTGGGTGCATACATGCAAGGCGGGTGGGGGACTGGAAACAAAAGTTGAGGCTTCAGAGTGGCATATTTTCTACGGGGTCTGTTTCAAAATGTTTTGGAGGCAGGCAGCATTGCATTTTCACTCACTACGTTTTTACTTCATGTTGGCACAATAGACAGGACGTGAGAACCTGGAACTCACTGGAACCTCTCACACAGTCACGTTGAACCGGGCTGGAGGTTATCTGGAAGGCAAAATCTAGATTAGAGTGAAATTTGAGGTACTGGCTGGGCTTTCAGATCAGATCCTGCCGTTCCAGGCTGTTCTCACTCTCAAATCATCCACTTCCTACTCTCAAGTCATCAACCTAGGATACAGGCGGGTCAGCTCGAGTGCCCTCCAATGAAACTCGGGGGATCTGCGACGGTGCAGCAGTGCTGGGGCTACGGCGTAGATGATATGCAGACCGTTCACTACAAGAGGCACGTGTCACGTATCTGTTGGTCCGTTTTCGTGGGGGCTCCTGGCTTGGACTGCGAAACACAACGGGGCGTTGGTCAACAAACATAGCATTCCGAAGACGGACCTTAGACCGTGCCTCTAATTAGGTAAGAAACAGGTTTCAGCACTTCACAGATTTAATTCTTACGTTGATATTGATAATAGATATCAACTAGGTGTTCCATTTGTTCCGGAGGAAGGCAACCGGAAGCAATATTCCAGTATCAACACATGTAGACGACGCCAAATGTATCCATGTGACTCCCTCAGTGCCATGATTGTGAGCCTTCAAATCTTATTCCAGATGATGGCGTGGAAAACACCATCTCAAGTACCTTGGTACATATCTTACCCACTCTTATTAGGTTGAGTTTAATCGGTCTACATCGCCCCCTCCAACCCCGGTGGCTGTGATGGAACCCCAGCATGAGACTCATATGAGGCCGAGACTTCCAATGGATGCTGAGAACGATGCTATTGAAGAGGTGGTTGAAAAAGGGCGCGTGTAGAAAGTTGTAACCTGGAAATAAGCGGATATGGCCTCGGCCGAGTTGAGTTGAAGGTGGCTTACTAAGCATGTGAGCTACAGTCAAGTGTCAACACTAAGCATTAACGATGGTCATATGAACTTGGATCTTAGGTGTTGCATTGATAGGATCGAGGAACAACCGGAAGTCTGATGAGACCCGTCTCACAACATCCACAGCCCCCTCAAGCCGTGAGCATGGAAACGAAACAGAACTAAGTCAGCTCTATCATTAAATTTCTAAGTCTATGGCTAGTCGTTAATTCAACAACTCTCTCTAGACAACTCAAGCGACAGGCCTCCCAGCAATGACGCCCACACTTCTCAACTCCTCTTCACAAACATCAACCCAGCGGAAAGCTTCCAATCGCGCCGTCCTCGCCGCCATCAAACAGCGCGTTCGTCCCGTCTAGCGCAGCAAAATGCTCGGCATACGCCAGCCCCCTCCTCCGCTCCGCCTCGACCCGTTTCCAATCCCACTCGCTCCCCTTGTCCAAGTCCCCCAGCTCCTCGGGCGTGCCCGTGCCCGTGCCCGTCTCGCCGCCCTTCCACCCGTCGTCGCCCGGTCTCTCAGGCAGCAGGCCAGCCGCCTCGATGACCAGCGCCGGGTGCACCGTGAACCGGCCGAGCTTGAACACATACTTGCTAACGGCCGTAGCAATAACAAACTGCGAGAAATTCGGAACCTCCTCCCCGCCGCCGCCCTGCACCTTCTGCACCTTAACCCTAGTCCGGCCCATGCGCCGGCCGTCCCACCCGGTCGGCCTGACTTTCCCCTTGACGACAAAGTGCGTGACAATATACAGCCACTTGCGGTCCCACGCCAGCACGCGGCTCCACATCTCGTACCCCTGCAGCGGCGCGATCTCGCGGCGGAAACTGCAGAAGACGGCGCCCAGGCCGATGCCGAAGGCGCCGCCGACGACGCGGCCGTCGCGGTCGCGCACGAGCTTGTTCTTGGCGTTGTCGCCGATGGCGGGCATCCCGGGGCCGAGAAGGTGGGTCACCAGGTGCGAGCGGCTGACGTCGAGGTCGGCGAAGTAGGTCGAGTTGCTCTTGTGAATGTTGTAGTCGGTCTCGAGCAGCGAGGTGCGCGACGAGGTGATGCTGTAGTGAAAGAGGGCGCGCTGCGGGAGGGTCTTGGGGCGGCGCAGGACGTGGTAGATGAAGGAGTGGAAGATGCGGACCTGGGAAAGTAGAAAGCAAGAAAAAGTCAGCGGTTGGGATGGTGTTGTATAAAATAGAGGCTTACCGTCCATGCCAGCGGCAGGCTCTTCCAGTTCAGGACGAGGAAGAACAGCAGCAGGATCCGACTGGTCCGGCCGGGCCCGGTCACGAACTGCCTCAGGACCCGGCGCCAGTCGACGTAGAGCGCCCGGTGGCCGGCGTAGGCGGCAGCCGCGGCGCTCATGGGCACAAAGACCGGGTAGAAGAGCGCGAGCGTCCCGACGGCCATCGTGTGCGGTTGTGTACGGTATGCAATTGCCGCGATCAGCTTCTTTCTTTACCGGCGCCGCCAGGGACGAGGCGGGACGATTGTACGAATCGGCGACTCAATGCGCCGGCAGCCGCGACGACGAGAACGACAAGCCAGAGGAGGACGCTGCGCGAATAGCAAAAGAGGGTGCTGCCGCACTTGGCGAGAAAGAACGACGAGGAGCTAGCGTCTGCGCCGGGGATTGCCATGAGCTCGGATGGGTCAGCGCGTGTTTTATCCCGACACTCTCTTGCTGACCCAGGCTCCAACCAGATAACGTTCCCCTGAAGTTCGATTTCAGCCAGCTTTGGAAGCCTTGCCCGGACTCCGATTGGGCCGCTGAAGATCGAAAAGGCAGCTGAGTCAGCTGGAAATGGGCCAGGGCCGAGGTTCGGGATTCAAATTGACCGAACCCCGATTATGCACATGTGACAATCCATTAAAACACCATCAATGAAACCCCAATCTCAACTCGCAGTTCCAAACCGTGTCAAAACAGTCGTTGTCGCCACATTCTGTCCCTCAGTTGTCGCCCTCGTCAAACTAACAGGATTCAAGTGCGGACCCTGATCCAGTCAATTTGTCACTCATCAACTATGAATTTAAAAACGGAGCACAAGTTGAAGCCCGTTTAGCATAGTGGCTAATGCGTTGCACTTGTATCGCTTCGACGACATGCAAAGATCACAGGTTCAATTCCTGTAACGGGCATCATTTTTCAGTACATCTCTACCTCCACTCCTGACTTCTCTTCTTTTGTCATTGCACTGGAGAGCAAGCTTGCCCTCATCGCCTAAGCAGGCCCCGCTCCTCAGCTTCAAGCGTCATCCGCCGAAACGCCTCGTCATGTTGCTTCCGTCGCTCGTGATATTCGGGGAAGAGGCTCACTCTCCCTTCCTCGATGTCGAGACGCCGTTGGACAGCTCTCCGATGAGCTTCCAGCCGCTTCTCCGTGTCCACAACCCAGGGTCTTTTCAACGGCCGTGTTTATAGCTCGTCGCCCAATCCACTGGCACGCGCCAGCGCCCGCGCACGAACGGTGGCCCTCTTTGCTTGGACTGCTGCACCATCACCACCATCGTCGTCGTCGTCCTCAACATCCTCGTAATCTGGCAATTCGTCCTCATAATCCCAATCAGCGGCGTCGCACTTGGCCCCGGGCGCCAATCTCCCCTTTGGCGGCTGCGCCTTTCCCTGGACCCGTCCAAAGTCGACTTGCTTCAAGTCCGGATCCTCCTCGAGCGTGCCGGCGCCGATGAGGTGGGCCTGGCGTATCTCGACGCAGCCGGGCTTGAACAAGTCGTCGAACCAGTCGCGCCGGTACCACGACATGTCGCGCCCGACCCGCGCCCTGTCCTCCCGGTGCAGTCGGTCGTGGCGCCGCGCCGGCGACCGCCACGGCATGCAGGCCTGCGCCTGCGTCGTCGGCTGGGTCCAGCGCACCGACTCGGCGAAGCCGCCGTCCGTGTAGCGCTCGACGTTGAGGTCGGCCGTCGAGAGCATGCGCCCGTAGACGTAGTCGTTGCTCGGGAACTGCGCCCATTCCTGCGCCCGCGTCTTGGGCAGCCGCTCCCACCAGTCGTCCTGCACCATGACGGCCACCGGCCAGAACTCGTCCCAGCACTGCCGCAGCTCGTTGTCGTACTCGTCCGGCGCCGCCGTCCGCCCGTCCGCCTGCGCCACGTGCGCCTGCATCAACCCCAGCAGCGTCAGACCCAGGTCCGCCTTGTCCAGCAGCGTCGCCGGCTCCGGCAGCGCCCGGTGCCAGGGGTCCGCCGTACCGAGCAGGTCCTGCCGGTCGTTGTGCGCCTGCAGCGAGAGCCCAAAGTTGCCGACGATGATCTGCGGGAGGTAGTCGGTGAAGTGCGCCAGCGCCGGGTCCGCCGCCTTCTCCTCGTCGGTCGGGTAGTGCAGGAAGATGTTGGCGGCGTGCAGGTGCGGAAACGGCGTCGGACCGGCGCCCGGGTAGTGCAGCGACAGCTGGCGCCGGACCATCGGGTCGTTCGCGCTGCTGAGCGAGCACTGCTCGATCTCGGCCGCTATCCCGTTCCCCTGCCAGTCCGCGTCGTCGGACAGATGCAGCCGCGCCATGCACCGCAGCTTCTTGACCACGACCAGCTCTTGCGGGCAGTCCACGCTGGCGAAGAGCCCGACCACGGCCACGTGCTTGTCCCGGGGATTGTGCTGGAGCCAGCGGACGAAGATGAAGCCGTTGGGTCGCGCCCGCAGGTACCGCGAGGATTCGTGGTTGGCATCGCTGAGGAGGGGCCGGCGTGCTTCGATTTCGGGGTTGTTCAGGGGGTAGAAGACGAAGGTGTGGTGAGAATATCTGAGTTGGGGGTGGAATCGGATGCCATGGCGGCTTCAAGTTCAATTGATTGATCTCGGCGATGGCTGAAAATGATTGAGGAGTCGGAAAAGGTCGTGGGTTAGAGCCGGACAGTTGCAACTTGCGGACCTGTTAACGACCTTTTTAACAGTCAACACTCCTTTGCTCCGAGTCATCTCAAGCTCTTTGTCGCTTGTCAGACTTTAGCAAATGTGCAAAGGCGATAGTTACCCAGAAACGGTTGTTCAGGCGCGCTGGGTTTGTTCCCTCGGCCAAACAAAGGATATCAGACTATTACCCCCTGACCAATCACTGTTGGCTGGAGTTTGGGCTCCTGCTTGTTTGCTTCGACCATGGTTGAGCTCTATGGGCACGATTGATGCTGCTCGTGAAATACAATGTTGAGTGTACAAGTACCTACCAGGTACGTTACCTTTAAGTTGATTTTTTTTCGATGAACATGGCACTTAGGTTCAAGCTGAACCACCAGCCTGCGCCATTCTGGATTTTGACGTTGGCCTGAAGTTCGAAGACACCTGGTAGGTACCGTACCTATCATGCCAACATGTAGATACACTTCTACCAGAATGCTTTGAGGTCCCGTCAACTGCTGCCGGGCCGCCTGCGCCATGCATGAACGGCTACATGTACGAAACGGGGTGTGATGCCGTTTTGCCGTGCGCCCACCAGAGCGCCAGATCTTGACAAGTTTGGAACCACACATCAGTCTGCCCTGCGCCTCCTATCCGTCGTCTGATGTGTTGCAGCCAATTGTTCCGGGCGAATAGGCTGTGCCGCCACAACTGCCCGCATAAGGTACCTAGTTAATAGCACTAGTTTAGGAAATAGGAAGATGGCATTTACTAGAGGGATAGGGGTTGACAGAAGACTTGGTTAAAGATAGGGGTGATGACAGTCTACCTTGGGGGGATCACTTGGAAACCTTCCACCTCAGCAACCTCCATGCTAAAAACTTGCAGCGAAGGGTCCCTTGGGCAGAAA